TGGGGAAAATAGAAGGGTGGTGTATTGGATATGTTCACTGACTTGAGTAATTTTTAAAAATAAATAAAGGTTACAAAGGATACAAATAAAGAAAATGATTTATGGTCCCACTAAATATAGCTTGACAATTGCATACTACTGATACAGACCATATTTAGATGATTACTTTTATTTTACTTATTTGTCATAGTTAAGAACTGTTCAATAGATATTATTGAGTTGGTAAAGTAGTTTCCTAATATAGACATTTATTTCCTTTGTAAAGATATTGTTAATCAGTGGGATTTTTCTCTTTTTCACTCTGCAATTTTAACCTAGTTCTACAGGATGGGCTGTTCTAAATCACAGCGATGGTTGACTTGCAACAAGCAAAATAATCAGAAACAAATAAAGCCAAATCTGGCTTCTTCGCTAAATTTTGCACTTAGCAATCTATGAAAAAGAAGCCACATTGGAGCATACCTATCTGAATCAATATCATGAACAGAGTTTCTCTTTGATAAGATAAATTGTTCTGCATCTGCTGAACAATTTGTTCAATATTGTAATTGAGATAGTGATGTTATAACGGAGAAAACAAAACCAAAATAAATAGTAATTTAAACTCCTCTAGGAGAACTTATTTGAGCTTCCTTAGCTGATGCTGTAAAGCCTTAAACTGCCTTAGTTATTGGTAACATTGACTGGAAAACGCACCATTAAAATCCAGAATTCTAAAGTGTATTTCAGCCAATTGTATCTCTATTTTGTGAGGTTTTCAGCTACCCCTGCAAAGAGTGCAAAAAAATAAATGCCCTGAATATGTAAAATCCAGAATGTTCCCATCATGCTGAACTTTACCATAAAAATCTACGCACGACTCTCCTATACATAAACTTCAATTAGCCCAAAAGGTGCATTATAGCACAAAAATCTTTGAGTCAAGTTACCCGAAATCTACTAACTTAAATAATATTTACAAAATCTTGGATCCTGTCTAACTGAAATTTCAAGGATCTTCACAATAGTTGTATTTGCAAGATTGTGGCGCTGCAGCATTGATGTAGTCAGCCACGGTCACATGATCATGATTCCTGACACTCCCTGCACAAAGTCAATGCGGAAGGATTTTGTCTCTGGCAGGAAGTCAGAAGATGCTCCCATTCCCACTGCTTCCCCGCCCCCAAGGTGGTCAATCTGCTTATCCATTTAGGTTAAAGAATGATCTCTGAAACAATGACCCAACGGTTCATGGGTTGTTTATTATTATTTTTAACCCTTTGAAGGAGAAAGGTGTTTGAGAAATGTGAAACATAAGTAAATAAATATTTTTGTGTACTTAGTAAAATTAAGAAAGAGTAAATAGATTTTCAAAATAAAAATAAAAAATAAAAATCACACTGACAAAATGTAAAAAATGCTAATTTAGAAGTCTACAAAATTCAATTGGATATGTGCTATATTGGATAAGTTCAGCAAATTTGTAAGTATGGAAACACAGAGTTTTATATTAAATATACGCAATTAACAATATCTTGGCTGGAGAATTCTGGGGATTAAAGTCCACGTATCTTCAAGTTGCCTAGTTTGAAAAAAACTTAGTCCTGTGAATTGACATTAACAGCTATATTTACTTTTATGCAACAGAACTCTTTGCAGTTGTTGCCTCTAGATTTAATAGATTTGATTTCTCCCACATGATGACAATTAAAAAAAAAGTGTGATAGGAAAACAAGTTGCATTACACCTAAAGTTAATTCAACAAAAATTTTGAAACAATTTTACACCTATAATATTATTAAATGCAAAGTAATTATGGCAAAGCAGAAAGAAGGACTGTAATTCTAGTAACAGCAGTTAATGAACATTTTAACCTTTGTATAATGATTCAACCACAGTGTCCAATTCTCTGCAAATAAAAGGAAGTAAGCGAAAGAAAAATAATCACAATGCCAACGGCTCTAAGAGGCATTCAATGAGACGTTCCAATGTTAGCACAGTCCGAATCTCTGGCTATTGTTTAAACTCTCTGCTTCTCTATGTTACTTGGAGAGAAATACTGAGAAAAGGAAATTATGCAATGCATTAGGCTATTTCAGATAATAATGTTACAATCATGTATAATGTACAGGAAAATTTGTCAAGGAAATATTATTGTCTAAGCTTCCGGTGAAAAGTGTTTGTTGGAAACCAACCAACCAAGGTTTGACCAGTTGGTTATTAGGAACCAACTGCCAATATTTATGTGATTTAGTTTTTTTTTCATATACAGGTAGTCCTCACCTTAGAACAGTTCATTTAGTGACCAAAGTTACAATGGCATTGAAAATTGTGTTTTATGACTATTTTTCACACAACCTTGCACCATCCCCATAGTCATCTGATCCGGGGGTGGGTTCTGGAAGTCACTACTGCCGGTTCGCTCATGGGCACTTTGTGTGTGCTCATGCGCATAATGTGCGCTCTGCCCACATGCACAGTACAATAAAAACTGTTCTGCACATATATAGAAGCAAAAAACAAGATGGTGGCACCTACAGCACCTCCTGGAAAACCGGGGGCATGGCAGGCCTGGGTCGCTGCTGGTTCCAGCGACTCAGGCTGACAAACTACTACTGGTTAGGCTGAACTGATCCGAACCGGTAGGACCCACCACTGATCTGATCAAAATTCAGATCTTTGGCAATTGACTCATATTTATGATAGTTGCAGTGCCCCGGGGTCATGTGGGGTCCCGGGGTCATGTGGGGTCCCG